GACGCTACAGGATCCTTCAGGAGGGAGTAGTCGATGCCAACCAGCTCATCCACAGAGCTGCGAACTGCGGGAAGGAGCTCAGTCACTCCAGCTGTGTGATGCTGGGTGAGGTGCTCACCCTTCTGGGCCTGTTTCTCACCCACAAAGCGGTGATTATAAATCTTCCCTCAGAGGGTTGTTGTAGGGATCAGATTAGTTTTATGTGGGAAGCATTTAGTGCTCAGCAGTATTGATGCCGACTGCCTCTGCCACCATCATCACCGCAATACAAGAGTTTCATCAGATCACTAAACAAGATGCCAAGGGAGTCCCTTCCTTTGTTGTTCTCTCTGGCCCCTCCCTCCCTCCCCATGCTCTGTTGCGGGGCCTGATGATCTCTACCCCCCAGCAAACAGAGGTCACAGTTCAGGAAAAGGGAATTCATGTTAGTTGAGCACCTTTGAAGTGCAGAGGATTAATACAAACAGGGTCCCAGTGATCAGCAAGCCCCTATCGAGGACCTTGACAGGCATCACTGAGTTAATCCTCACAACAACCCCCACGAGGAGGCATGGCCAGCCAAGCGAAGATACCAAGGCCCAGAGAGGAGTACTTACCTAGGGTCACATGGCCAGTCAGTAGCAGGGGCCATATTTGAAGCCAGGGCATGGCAGGGGCCCACCCTGAAGTATACCCAGCCTCCACCTCAGCCCCATTCCAGTCCCAGGCATGGCCCGGAGCTCCCCTCCCAGCCAGCGCCAACTCACCAGGCACGGTGTCCAGGAGGGAATTGAGGAGCACCATCCCTGCGTGGTAAAGCACGGGGCAGATCTGCGAGGTGGGGTCTAGAGTCAGGGCCTTCCAAAGAGAGGGGACCCCCCCACACACACTGCTGCTGTACCTGCTGGTTGAGGAGGAAGCGCATCCCCGAGGTGATGAATGTGGAGAGGAACTCATAAATCTTCCTGCAAGGAGGGGAGAGACCACGTGAGCCCAGACTCTGCCCCACCCCTCTGGAGTGGGGACTCCAGATCCAGGAGAAATCAGTGGCCAGAGAGACAGGGGGGAGGTGGCTCAACTTTGACTTGTATTACCAGCTCTTTAATGGAGGTTTTCCGAATCCCCTCGCTAGCCTGATTCTCAAGACCTCTCCCTAACCCCCACCCCCCACCAGCCTAATGAATTTGCCCCCAGTTCTTCAAACCTGCTGTACGCATCCCCACCTCCAGATGCTTACTCACGCCCTCCCTTCCACCCTCGGAGTTCCTGTCCTGTATTTCCCTCTGTAAGGGTTCAGATGCTTCCTCTTCCAGGCAGCCTTCCCAGATTGCCCTCTTCTGAACCCCTGGAGTACTCAGTTCCTCTCTCAAAGCCCCGATGACAAATGTTTTGTCCCTTCAGCGAGGCTCTGAGTTCCTTCATGAATCCTCAGGGAGTGACATATACTTTATTTGTTCAGTAAATAAAAACTTGACAGTATACCAACACCAGATGATAAATCCACCATCTTTTCTCTCCCACTCTCTTTGAGAGCTATCACAAAGTTCCCTTCTCAGCCCAAAACCTGAAATTATGCTATTGTTTTTAGTAGTAGTAGTAAGAGCTGCCAGTTATTGAGAACTCAGTTCATGCCCAGCTGTGCATACTGATCCTCACAATTACTCTTATCCAGGAAGCTAGCCACTAATATGCCAGGTACTGTTCTAAATATTTTTACATATATTTTTTTTTCTTTTTTCTTTTTTCAAGATTTTTTTTTTATTTATTTACTTGAGAGAGAGAATGAGACAGAGAGAGAGACCATGAGAGGGGGGAGGGTCAGAGGGAGAAGCAGACTCCCCGCTGAGCAGGGAGCCCGATGCGGGACTCGATCCCGGGACTCCAGGATCATGACCTGAGCTGAAGGCAGTTGCTTAACCGACTGAGCCACCCAGGTGCCCCTATTTTTACATATATTAACAACTAGTCTTTGCAACATCTTATAATATAGTTGCTATTGTCATCCTCATCTTACCAAGGAGGAAATTGAGGCACAGAGCTTCAGTGACTTGCCCAAGGTCACAAAGCAGGGAAATGAGTGTGCTGAGCGTTGGACCCAGTTGGCCCGGCTCCCAAGCGTGTGCACTTTGCATTGCACCAGGCAAATGGCAGTGAGGCTCAAAGGGGGCTTACTTGAAGGTTCCCCCGAAGGCCGCGTGCATTCTGGAGACTGAGGCCTGGCAGGAGACGTTGGACACTTTGATACGGCCAGTGGCATCCCGGGAGAGCTGCAGAGCAGTGCGGATGGACACACCCTCGGCAGAGGCATTGATATAGCCTCCATCATAGCTGCAAGGGGGTGTGGGGCAGTCAATGTCCGACTTGGAGCTTAACCACGTCTTCGCCACCCACCCCATAAATCGTAATACCTCTTAATAAGACTTCACTTCTACCAAACCCTATCAACCCTTATGAAGTGGGTATGCTTGTCCCTACCGTACAGACGAAGAAATTGAGACCTAGGAAGGCTAAAGGACTGCCCACAGCCCCACGGCATCCCAGCCCTCCTGATCCACCCTCCACTCCCCTGAGGGTGCCAGGTCCTCACAAGAACCAGTAGAGAAGCTGCCTCCGGAAGCGCAGCCCCAAGGACGCGTTGCTGATTTGTAGCACCAGCTCCTGCTCCGGCTGGAAATGGAGCTCAGAGGACGTCAGCTGCAGCTCTGTGACCTTCACCCTGCAGGAAGCCTCCGGGTCAGCTTCAGGGCCACGAAGAGGGAGTCCACCCAGCCACAGGAAACTAATTCCCTCCTCTTCCAGTCCAGACCTGGGGAAGCTGAGCTGGGTGGAATGAATTCTTCCACTTTCCCTCAAGTGCCCAGCCTGGACTTGGACAGCTCAGAGATGAGCTTCACCCCTTCTTTTTTTATTTTTTTTAAAGATTTTATTTATTTATTTATTTGCGAGAGAGAGAATGAGAGACAGAGAGCACGAGAGGGAAGAGGGTCAGAGGGAGAAGCAGACTCCCTGCCGAGCAGGGAGCCCGATGCGGGACTCGATCCCGGGACTCCAGGATCATGACCTGAGCCCAAGGCAGTCGCTTAACCGAGCCCCCAGGCGCCCTCACCCCTTCTTTAGATGCCTTATTGCTTGCACTCCCTTCCCTCCCACACCCTGTGGTTGCTTGACCTAGACCTGGTCTTTTAGCCGAATCCTTTGATTTTGTGTCCATCAGCTGAGCTACATACCCCATTTCTCCTGTCCCCACGGGACCTCTCCCAGTAGCTCCACCCCGGGCGCTCTACCCCACTCTCACCCATCGGCAAGTTTCGTGACTCCCCGGCTCCGGTGCTCTTTGGCCACGCCTTAGCCCCCAAGGCCTCTGCTTTGCCGTTCTTGGCCCCGCCTATGTTGGCTGGCTTGGCCTTTATCTTCTCCGCCCCATCCTGTTTCTTGAGAGCCGCCTCCTCGGTGTGGCCACGCCCCTACCCCTACTCCGTTTTCCCGGCCCGAGACCCCGCCCCCCGGATCCCCTACTTACTCCGAGATGTTGTAGTAGAAGTGGCCCTCCCTGCCCCGCAGGTCCGGAATGGTGATGGTCTCCAGCTCTTGTTCCAGAAAGCGCAAGCCCTCCTGCTTCACTGAGGTAGCAGCGAGACCCTTAGGTCCTGCACCCACAGCTGGAGCGACCCCTCCCTCATCGGCCCTCACCCGGCCCCGCGCCTTACCCAGCTCCAGCGCCTGGGAGGTGACGCGGGTCTTGCAGCCGGGGAGCTCCGCATGAGCGCCTGCCAGAAGCGCTAGGAGGAGGGCCCCAAAGAGGGCCATGGCGAGCGGGCCTGGGGTGGGGTGGGGTCGCTGGAGTCATCAGGGCCGCTAAAACCCACTCCCCGGTTGTCCAACCAGAAGAGGGACAGGCCGGATCGTTACCCTCGAAACAGCTCTTCGGAGAACTTGGAACCAATTATATTGCCTCTATTTGGCAGATGCGGAAACTGAGGCTCAGAGAGGCGACGCGACTCGCCTTCTAGCTCCCAGAGGATTTGGGGCACGGGGGAAGGGGAGGGGACATTCTCGGTCCCCCCGTGCACCCGCCGCGTGAAGAGTTTTGACCCCTCGGGGACCAGCGCCCCCCGCCTCCACCACCTCCCCTTTCCTTTAGCAGAGGACAGGCGCGGCTTGCCTGTTACCATGGAAACGGCTGCACGCGCATTCCTGGGGGGTGGCTTGCGGTCTCCCAGGCCCCGCGCCGGGGGAGTAGAGGGAGCTGCCGGCCAGACCTCGGGCTGCCGGGTCCTAAATCCCTGCCATCGGGATTCGGCCTGGTATCCAACCCCCCCCCCCCAAAATCAGCGCCCTCCTTCATGGGATCTCTTCCCCACCCCGGGTTCAGTAGACCACGCGGCTCAGCGAGGGCCTGAGGGTGGATGGGGGCGCCCTCCAACTCACTGCGGCGGAACTGGGGGTCGGTGCGGTCACGTGGGGCGGCGGGCTGCGCGGGGGATCCGGGCGGCGGGGTCTGGCGGGCTGTGCTGGTCCAGCCGCCTTTATAACGCCGGGCCTCTCCGACCCCCCTCCTCGCTCCCGCTCTCCCCTCCTCCCTCGGGGGTTGGGAGGGGACGGGGCGGAACGCTGGCAGCCGGGAGGGTGGAGAGGGCTGTACGGAGCCCCGTGACAGGCCCGGCGGCTGTCAAGACAAGTGGGGGACCCAAGCCGGGAAGGAGGGAGGGAAGTGCAGGAGTCGGCCTGCCCAATCCCAACAGTCCTTGCTTCTCTGGGACCTTGGTTCAAATTCCAAGTGCCCATGTCTTCCTCTATGACCCTGAGCAAGTCACTTCACTTGGGGCACCGCGCCTCGGTGTCCTCATCCAAGGAAATGTGCGGGATACTTGGGACAACCCGCAAAATCAATGCCCAAGACACATTATCTTCCTTCCTTTCCACCCACAATCATCAAGACCTCTCCTTGCCAGGCTTCACCAGGGGAACCTCCCCGCCAAATGTCTCTATGTCACTACCTAGGGACCTAACAGGCCCAGAGACTTCTCCCACTGGGGTCCAAGCAAGTGCTGCCTGCCCAGGTGGACAGGGCACAGGCTGCTGGAATCACCCCAGAGGGAAGATGGGTGTTTCCCAGGGACTGTGGATTTTGTGTGTGTGCGCACCTTTGGAGCTAGGTTCTCGGCACAGTATCTCCATCTACTGCCTGCAGGGTGTTCCCAGCTCCTGGCACCTGCACAGAGTAGTGCTTGCTACCTTTTCTTGTTGTCCGATGGAGGAAAGAGGAAAGGAAAAGCGATAAAGGTGAGTGTCCACTGAACATGTATGTAGCACCAAGCACTCATCCCGGTAGGAATATCAACACGTCCTGATTTGCCCAGGACCTTCCTAGCTTTGAAACTGAACGTCTCCCTTCCAGGGAACCCCCTCCATCCCAGGCAAACCAGGATGGTTAGTCATCCTAGATCGAGACTAACTTATTTAATCCTCTTAACCTATGAGGTTGGCACTAATATAGACCCACCCTAGCAGGAAACCAGAGGGAAAGACCACCATGCAGCTACTACTGGAAAACCCATGAACTGTGCAAGGGTGGGAGGTGGTGTTTATAGCCCAGTAATTAGTGCTTAGACTCCAGTCTGACAGACCAGGATTCACATTCTAGGAATTTGTCCAATTCTTGGACCCCTTACTGAAGCACCTCTGAGACTTAGTTCCCTCTTTCTGAAACAGAAACAATAAGGTTGTTGTTGCGAGAATAAATTAAAAGTGCCTATTGCATGTGCTGAGTACAGTACGTGGCACACCATCAGTGCCAAATAAATGCTGGCTATTAAGGTTAGGGGCACACACCACAAGCACATGAGACAGAAAGGGTGTAGGAGAGGAAGGAAGAAAGGGCTAAGGATATCCAGAGGAGGAAGTGCCTTCGAGCTTTGAACTCTAGTAGCCCTCGCTCTTCCTGGAGCCTGGCTCAAGCAGAAAACCTGGCAGATGTTAGTTTTCTTTCTTCTCACTTTCCCTTTTTTTTTTTTTTTTAAGATTTTATTTATTTATCTGACAGAGAGAGCACAAGCAGAGGGAGCGGCAGGCAGAGGGAGCTGCCCAGCTGAGCAGGGGGTCCAATGTGGGGCTCGCGGGGCTCCGGGGCTCCATCCCAGGACGCTGGGATCATGACCTGAGCCGAAGGCAGACGCTTAACGACTGAGCTCCCCAGCCGCCCCCTCTTCTCACTTTCTTACTGAAATACAAGCTCAATCTTTGTATCACTGGGATCTCCTGTGGGAGATTCTTGTCTCCTGTGCGTCACTGTCCCCACAGCAGCCCCAGTGAGCTTTAAATGTAGCTATGTGATCTTGGGCCAGTGGTCTAACCTCTCTGGGCCTGTTTCCACATCTGGATTACTCGTGAGGATTAGAAGAGTTAATGCATTTAAAGGACTTGATGAGCACCTGGCATGTAGTAAGGCCTCAAAACACATCAGCTACAGTCATCCAGCATCCTTCGCCAGCATCTAGTGGCTTTCAATGACACTCAGAATAAACTCCTGCCTCCGTGCCCGGACTTCCAGGCACGTGACACGTGCACCCCTGTCTTGTCACCCACCCTCTGTCACCCTCCTTTGCTCTGGCTACACTGGCATTTGCCCTTGCTCTTCCCTCTGCTTGGAATGCTTTTCCACCTGATCTTCCCACAGCTAGCTCCTTGTCATGCTGGTCTCGGCTTCAATGACACTTCCTCAGAGAAGACTTCCCTGCCTACCTAGCAGTTACTCTCAGTCCCATCAGCCTGTTTTATTTGCTTTATAGACCTTGTGACTATTTAATATTGGTTTGCCAAACTATTGGTTAATGGAGACATGGTCGGTCTCCGTGAGAGCTGGGATCTGGTTCCCCACTTATTCCCAGTACCTAGAACAATGCCTGCACTGAGGAGGTCCTGCCTATTTGCTGAGTGACTAAACTGGTTTGGAGCCCTCAGATGTGTCTGGGGGGCAAGTGATACCTATGCACCCTGGATTCTTTAGCAACTCCTGCGCCTCGTTTGTCTCAGCCCGACTGACTCTAAACACAGCCCTGGGCCGGGGGACAAGATGTACTCACTGGCCTTGAATCCAGGGACTTGCCCTGTCAGCCTGAGCCCCTCTGTCACACGAGTTTCCCCTTTCTCCCAAAGCCTGTGCCCCCAACGCTTACACTTCAGTGATATTGGCAGACAGGCAGCCCAGGAAGGTCTTTGGCAACCTCCCCGGTTCCTCAACACTTGACTTGAGGGATGAAGAGATCAGAAGGCCCAAATCCCTTTCCACTTTCACTCCTGTCTTTGAAGAGGGAAGGAGGGACTTCCCAGCACTCAAAGGGACAGGAAAGAAATGCTTTTCTAGCCTCTACTGTGCACCCAGCACAGCGATATTGTTAAACCACGAGGAGAGCAAAGCATTAATTAAGCGCTTTGGAATCAGACAGACCTGGTTCAAATCCTGCCTCTGTCATTTTTTAGAGCAGAGGTCAGAGAACTGTTCCTGTAAAAGGTCAGATAAGATAGTACATATTTTAGGCTTTGCTGGCTCTGTGTTCTCTGTCACAGCTGTTCAAACTCTGTCATTGCAGCTATAAACAAGACTTACATGAACAGACCCCTCGCTGGACTTGGCCCATGGGCTGTAGTTTGCAAACCCCTGTTCTAGAGTAAATTAAAAAGTAAGTCTCTTTAAGAGCCCCAGTTTCCACATCTGTAAGTTGGGGATGATCTAGTACCCGACAACCTCTCCGGGTGGTGGTGAGATTTTAAATAAAGTATATAAAGTGCTGGGGCACCTGGGTGGCTCAGTCGGTTAAGCGGCTGACTCTTGATTTCAGCTTGGGTCATGATCTCAGGGTCCTGGGATCAAGCCCCACATCTGGCTCCTCGCTCAGTGGGAAGGGTTCTCTCTTTCTCCCTCTGCCTCTCCCCCAACTCACTCTCTCTGTAAAATAAATAAATAAATCTTTTTAAAAAAATTTAAATGGGGTACCTGGGTGGCTCAGTTGGTTAAGCGTCTGACTTCGGCTCAGGTCATGATCTCAGGGTCCTGGGATCAAGCTCCTCGTCAGGCTCCCCACTGGGCCGAGAGGTTTGCTTGTCCCTCTGCCCCTCCCTGGCTCTGCTCTCTCTCTCTCTCTCAAATTAAAAAAAAAAATCTTTAAAAAAAAGTATATAAAATGCTGAACCTAGTACTTGGTACACTAAAGGGCTCAATAAATGTCTCTGGTCATTGGTATTAACTAGTTGTTTAACAAACAAAAAGTGCTTTCCAGATATTAACTCGCTTAAAACTCATAACGTCCTGTAAGACAGGTATCATTGTCCTATTTTACAGATGAGGAAATAGAGACCCGGAGAGGTTAAGGAACTAGCTCAAGTCAGCCTGGCTCCAGAGCCCTTGCTCGTAACCACTCCACTCACTTGTGTCTCTTTTTAAATGACCCCGTTTAATCCTCACAGCAATTCCTTGAGATAGCTATCATTGCCCCTGTTTTGCAGACTGGCACACTGAGGTACAGCGGCAGGAAGGAACTGGTCCAAGTAAGTAAACACAGGCTCCACTCACCACAGGACACCAAGTTGGATTTCTGCCCAAGATGTCAACATGTGTAGCCTGGCTTCCCCCATCCCCCTTCCCCTTTCACCAGCTGTGTTTTCTTTGGATCCTTGCATGGCTTGGGGAAGCTGCGTCAGCCCATCTCCCCTCCTGACCATTCTCCCGCCCCCGCCCCCCCCCACGTGCATCCAAGCTACCCCTCAGGAGATGAACCCCCTCCCTCTCCCCGCAGCGTACCTACGGACAGGCCTGTGTTGGTCTGTGGGTGTGCCTGGGAATGTGCGACAGGGGGCGGAGTTGGAATGAGGGAAGAGGTATGTGTAGGGGGCAGATGTTCTACCAGGAGACTCTGATTACATCTCCCCAAATAGGCAGAATGACGGCGCATGGTGGGGGCCAGACATTTACCAAATGGAGATAAGAGAAACACAGGACTGGGGCTTTCTGAGTTCAGCCAGGACAGAGCTGCTGACTGCCTTTCTGTGGCTTCTAAAGCTTGGACACTTGGCCTTTTGGTTTCTCCTTTTCTTTCCCATTTTCTCCTTGAAGACCGGTTCCTTTTTCTGTGGATGGAGCCGGCCACCTGGACCCAAAGGATCGTCCAGGTTTCAAAGTCAAACACTCCAACGTTTCTCATAGGGTGTTGCTCCCCAGCTCCCAGGTCCTGTGCACCCCTGTCCCTGGTACCTCTCCAGCAACTGGGCCTCAAGCAGCTTACTCATCCTCTGACTTGTCTACTCTTCTTCATGTTCACCCTCCCTCCCAGCTTCCATGCCTCTTGCAGCCTCTAGCTGACTCTGACTCATGGGGCCTCTTTCTTAATAGTTCTCTAACCCTCCTGTCCCTGCTTTCATTAGCACTCAGCATGGGTTTCCCAGCCACCCACTGAGTTGAGGAAGGGGTGGGAGATCTGAACAGTGCTGCCTAGTTGTTTGGAGTTCTTAAGCCAGAAATAGAAATTTCCAAGTAACTGAAGGGAGGGGGGCGGCAAGCAGTAGTGACTTTTCCTTCTGATGATGAGGACTGGTCACCGTCTTCAGCCTATGCTTGTCTCTTTGCAGGCCTTTCGAAAGGTTGCAAGAAACACCGGACACATTCCAGCGTCCTGACTTTTTCCAAGATGCTCTGCTACCACAGTCTCTAGAGCCCAACATACACACAGCCAGGAGTCATGAGGACATCACAGCCCTCCGGCCTCCCTCCCCGTTGCCACCCAGCTAGTGCCGTCTTTAGCACTGTCCCCACTCTGGTACCAAATTCTGGGGCTCTCCCAGGCTTCTCATCTCAGATCACGGGCCCATGTTCACCCAGATGCTCCAAGCTCACCCAGAAGCAGGGGAGTAATCCTTTGAGTCTCTTACTTCCTGAAAGCTCATGTCAGCAGATCCTGGTGTTCCGAACTCCAAAAGGTGCTCCCCCCGCTCTATGCACACCTCTCCATTTGCACCAACACTACTAGCCTGGGCCATTTTCTTCTTTTACCTGGACAACTAGTCTCGTCTGCCTGCGTCACTATTCCCCTAAAGATCTAGTCTTCCTGCACCAACCACAGGGATGTTGAAAAGGTAGAAATGGTAGTATTTTACTACCCTATTCAAAACCCTCATTCACTCCCCATCACACACAAAATAAGACCTGGACTCTGGCCACAAGCCCGGAAGGACTCCCGGCCTCCTAGCTCCTGCCTACCTTCCTATCTTCCACCACTGCCTGGACGCCAACTCACTCCATCTCAAGCTTGCCATTGACCCTTCCCTCCACTGGATGCACCTTTGCAGACAGACTTTGAGTGGTTAGCTTCCTTCATTCACTCGAATCTCTCCTCAAGTGTCACCTGCCCTGGGAGGACCCCTCCCCAGCACCTCCTGTTGTTCTGTTTCATTCTTTTTTGGCCGTTTCTTCCAGCAGACTGTAAATCCCATGGTGGCAGGAGCCTGATACTCATGGCTGTGTCCGCAGGGCCCAGCACAGGGTCCAGTACATAGAGAGTGGGTCGTTATTACCAGCTACAGACCCTTCAAAAAGAGGAGATTTTATCATGGATGGAGCAGCGCCGACCTAACCCCCCCTTGAGCCTCTAAGCTCCTTATACTTCCTGCTGGCACCACCCCTCTCCCTACATCTTTCTGGGGTTATCTGGAGCTGGTCTGCAGCCAGGAATGCCATACTTTGCTAATCTTTTCAGGGGCCTGAACAATCCCTAAAGTCACGGGGTGGGAGGTGCTCCCTCAGGATCTCAGCTGGCTGTGCAGAAATCAGGACTCCCTGACCCAAGCCACTCCCAGGCCCTTTTACCTCACCTTCCAACTGGCTGGGCTGCCCTGGGACTTCATGTACCTTCTTGGGAGGCACCTTGCCTCCCACCCCCAAGCGCCTATGTTTCCTGGTATGGGAGAGCCTGCTGGCCAGCCTGAGGTCCCTCTCAGTGCCTAGGCCGGAACTCCAGGCCTAAAGTTAGATCGCTGTTTTTCAGCCCTCCTGCACATTAGTAGCTTTTAAAGTAGGGAGGGTTTTGCTTTGTTTCGTTATGATTTGAATACCTATGGCCCCAAACCCGAAACTCTGATTTTTTTTTTTTAAGTAGGCTCCACACCCAGTGTGTTGCCCAACACGGGGCTTGAACCCACGACCCTGAGATCAAGACCTGAGCTGAGATCAAGAGTCAGACGTTTAACTGACTGAGCCACCCAGGTGCCCCCCTGGTGTGGTTTTTTTTTTTTAAGTAGGCTCCATGCCCTATGTGGGGCTCAAGTCATGACCCGGAGATCCAGAGTCACACATTCTACAGACTGAGCTGCTCAGGCACCCCGCAAAACTCCGATTTAATTGGCTTGGGCTGAAGGCCAGGCATCAGTGGGTGTTTTTTTAAAAAGTTCCTCAACAGGATATAATGAAAAAGGCTGATAGTAACAAGCATTGGCAAGGATGTGGAGAAATGAGAACCTTCACAGGCTGCTGCTGGGGATGTAACAGAGCGCAGTGCTTTGTCAGTTTCTTATAAAGCTAAACACACACTTACTGCACACACAGCGATTCCACTTCTGGGTGTCCCCGCCACAACTGGGAAAACCAATGTTCACACAAACACTTGCACACTGATGTTCGTGGCCGTACCATTCCCAACAGCCAAAAAGTGGAAACAACCCAAATGCCCAGCAGCTGGCAAACAGATAAACAGAACGTGGTGTATGTGTGTGGGGGGGAGGACTGTTCAGCAGGAGAAAAGAATGAATTACTGATCAGTGCTGGGACATGGCTGAATCTCAAAAACACGATGCAAAGTGAAGGGACTGAGGCAAAGACTGCATTCTGTATGATTCCATTTATGTGAAAGGTCCAGAAAAGGCAATTCTTTACAGATAGAAAGCAGAGTCGTGGTGACCTGGGTCTGGGGCGTGGGAAGAGGGGGTGACGGCAAACAGGGGCAAGAGCTCTTTTTTGGGGTGATGGAAATGTTCTAACACTGAGTTGTGACGGCTACACAGCTGTGCACATTTACTCACAGTCATCGAATTGTACATTTGAAACAGGTGAATCTCGCAGCATATATAAATTATACCCCAGGTTTTTCCTGCCAGGGTTGAGATCTCTGGGTTAGAAGTCGCACGTCCTAGGAACCCCTCAGCTGGGACCCAGGCTCAGTTGGTGTCCTCCCTCTTCCCCCTCTTTAGGTCAAGGTTTCCTCTGATCTCAGATGTTTGTGAAGCTGCCAGCTGTCACCCTGGCTTCTTTTTTGGGGAAGTCTGGGTTTTCATTCTGCAGACTCAGCTCATAGGAGTGTAAACATCCTGGTTCGTGGCCACTCTGCCCAAAGTAGTAAGAACAGGCATCAGAAGGAATGGGTGGGGAGGGTGAAGGTGCCCCCTGACCCCATCCTGAGATGACCCAGACACCACCTGGAGATGCTGGGTGCTCACCCAGAACAGGGACTGAATTTGGGGTCCAGGACCCTGGCTCGACCTGCACCTTCCCTGTCGCCTGACGAGTTCCTCCAACACACCACCCCTTTCCACCCCTCCAGGACTTGGTACAGGCTGTATCCTCGCCCACCTGGAAAGTCCTACCCTTCCAGCAAGAGTCAGCTCATTGCCATCTCTTCTGAAGCCTTCTCTTTCACAGCCTTCCCCCACCCCCGCCCCGCCCCTTGGTCAGCCCAGCAGAATCCTTAGCTCCCTGGAGCAGAGGGTTTATTGATGCGTCTGCCTCCCCACCTCCTCTGTGAGCAGCCCGAAGACAAAGAGTCTGTCTTATTTCTCTCTGGTTCTCAAGGTTCTGGGGCAGGCCCCACCACATACCATGCCCAGCCCAAGGAAGAAATGGAGGGGAGCGTGACACCACATCAGACACCTACAGGACTGGGAAGATCAGAGGAAACGCCCCACTCCCCTCGTCTATTCTTGGCCTAAATGACTTCTCTCATCTGACCCCAGAATGGTCAGAGAGCCACTCCCAGTGGAAACCACAGTTTGGGGTGGAAGACTTTCTGCCGCAGCTTCCCTGGGGCCAGGCCCACTGGCCTCGGAAACTGCCTTAGTCTTATTTAAACTGCAGAACAGCGTCTGTGGGCAGCTCTGGGTAGACCTGGGTGGGGGCACCTGGATCAGGATCACGCTGGAGCCTCCCTTCCCTGACTGCCAGGACCTCAGGGGTTGAGATGTGTGGCTCCCTCTCAGCAGCTTCCTGCTGTAAGGGCGAAGACCAAGTGGGTGAGGGTATGTGGCAGCCTGAGCCTGTATGTTTATGTTTTGTTTTGTTTTTTAAGATTTTATTTATTTATTTGACAGAGAGAGAGAGAGCGAGCGAGCAGGAGCAGGAACACGAGCAGGGGGAGCGGGAGAGGGAGAAGCAGACTCCCCCGCGGAGCAGGGAGCCCGACGCAGGGCTCGATCCCAGGATCCTGGGACCACGACCCGAGCCGAAGGCAGACGCTTAAGGACTGAGCCACCCAGGCGCCCCTGTATGTTTATGTTTCTGCTTTAATATGGAGACTGGGCTTTGTCCTGAGTTGAGGCTGAGGTCCTCAGAGGCTCAGCCAGCAGGCTCCCAACCAAGACTGGCCAAAGCTGGAGGAGCCCTGCTTATCTCAACCATCTCTCCCAACTCACGAAGCTTCTTCAGAAAAGTTGATGGAGTGCTTGAAAGCCCCGGGATCTCTGCTTGACCTGCTCATCCCTACCTTGGGAGAGAGGACCCCAGGCTGCTGGCAGGGACTCTGCCACGGCAGGCAGATCATGCTTTTCTTGGCATCTCAAAGGGCGCTGCCTTGGTGTGCCCGCCACAGAAACCAGAGCCTGGAATAGAAACAGGAATACCTGGAAAAAGTCACCCAGGCTTCAACCCAGTGTGGTCTGTCCATGGTCAACAAATATTTACAGAGGGTTAGGCACAGCACTGGGTATGGGCGCTACAGATGTGAACAAGCCCCAGCCCCACCCTTGAGCAGTCCACTGAGCACAGGCTGCTACAGGAATACAGAAGAGGGGTCCCTGACCTAGCCTGGGTGAAGGTGAGTTCAGGGAAGGCTGCCTGGTGGAGGTGACATATAAAGTAAGACTTGAAGAAGGCGCCGGGGTGGCTCCGTCGGTTAAGCATCTGACTCTTGGTTTCGGCTCAGGTCATGGTCTCAGGGTTGTGAGACCGAGCCCCACATCGGGCTCTGCGCTCAGCAGGGAGTCTGCTTGAGAATCTCTCTCCTTCTCTTTCTGCCCCTCCCCCAACCCCCCAATAAAAAATACATGAAATTTTCAAGTAAGACTTGAGGGCTGAATGAGTCCAGTTGGGGAGGAAGAGTGAGAGCAAACATCATATGCAAAGGCCGGAGGTCAAAGAGAACCTGTCACCTCTGGGGAAATTACCCCTAGTTCAAGATGGCTGGGGTCTGATGAAGGAGAGGTGGTTTGAAGGTCCGGATCATGAATAACATGAATGTATGGAAAGTGCTCGGCACAACCATAGTAAATGCTCTGCCGAGGTAGCTCTCATTATAATTATGACCTTGTAAACCAGGTTAAGCGTTTGGGACTTCATCCTGCAGTCAGTGGGGAGATAGTCAAGGGTTTTAAGCCCAGGGTGACTGAATCAGATTTGCCATATGACCCAGATTTAAAGAGATCTCTGTGACTGCAGGGGAGATTACGGACTAGGAGAGAAGCAAGGCTGGAGGACAGGAAGAGCAGTTTGGAGACTGGTCTTATTATTCACTCATTCATTCATTCAAATATTCACATAAGTAAGCAATGGATTAACTCTATTTATTTAAATACAATTATTGTGTTATTAATTACTATTATCTATAATAATTCAGGGGGACGTATGGGGTTGGGGGGCTTCAAATATCTCCCAACAGTAGAATAGATAAATATGCCTTGGAAGACAGAAGACAGCAATGAAAATGAACTCTAGCTACATGCAACAACATAAATGGGTTTTGCAAATGCAATGTTGAGCAAAAGAAGGCCAACACAGCATAGGACTGTATAATTCCATTTGTATACAGTTCAAGGAACAGGCAAAATGCAACTATTGTGTTTAGGGATACACGCTTAGGTGGTAAAACTATACAAGGAAAGAAGTGATTATCACGAAATTAGTGGTGATTACGCTGTGCTTGATGATACCTCAAGCTGAATGATGTTCACCTGGGTATTCGCTCTGTGACAGATCATGAAGGTTTACATTTCCCTTTTGTGCACTTTTCTGTATGTGTGCTATTCTTTTTTTTTTTCTTTTCAAGATTTTGTTTATCTGACAGAGAGAGACACAGCAAGAGAAGGAACACAAGCAGGGGGAGTGGGAGAGGGAGAAGCAGGCTTCCCGCTGAGCAGGGAGCCTGATGTGGGACTCGATCCCAGGATCATGACTTGAGCCAAAGGTAGCTGCTTAACGACTGAGCCACCCAGGCGCCCCTGTATGTGTGCTATTCTTAACAAGAAAGTTTCTCAAAAATAATGGGTCTTGCTCTAGGGTAGTTGGAAAGGGGATGGAAAGAAGAGGCTGATTTTGACTGTACGTGGAAAGCAAGAAGGGAGATGTGAGGAGTGCATTGGAAGGAACCAGTCTGGGGAGGCAGATGAAGGCAAAGAGCAGTGTTCACTTGACACTGTGAGTCTGAAGTGGAGCTGTCCGGGACCGCGGTGTGAGTTCAGGCAAGTCACTTCCCTAAAGTCCAGATTCCCTTCCCCACAAGAGAGGGAAGCAGTGTGGTTTCATGGAATTGGCTTTGGGTTTTGATGCTGGGAACCCTGGCCTCAAGACCCCAGTTCTAATACTTCATATTACCTCGTACAATTACTTGACCACTGACCCT